TGGCCTGCAGTACTGCACCCTAACCACTGCGCCACCTTGGCTCAAACCTTGCTACAATATTGAATGAACTAAAAGTTAAGACTATTTCAAATAAAGGGAAAGAATATAACCTTGGTTTATATGATCAAGATTAATAGAAGCTTTTGTTTGCAAAGCTCTGGCAACCATTTACAGACTTTTAGCTGACATCAGGATTGAAAACTTGTTTTTTTATGGATTAGTTTATACCTAAGGGTTGAAATTGGGATGAAGAGATATTTGTGATCTTGTAGAGACTGAAGAGTTATAAAATTTGTCTATACTTGTAATGAATGTTGGGAATCACTCCTTTATATATTTCTTTACAATTTCCCCAGTATATTCTTTCTTTGGTCTATCCTTCCTTTCTTCTCTTACCTCCCTCCCTCCTTCCTCCCTTTCTTTCCCCCATTCCTTCTTCCCTTCATCCCTTCCTCCTTTCTTCCCTCCCTCCCTCCCTCCGTCCTTCCTTCTTTCCAATTATTTTTCTTTTTTACTATTCTTTTTCTTTCTTTAACTTTAGTTTGCACTTCCTTCCAATTATTGTTCTTTTTTACTATTCTTTTCCTTTCTTTAAATTCAGTTTGTACTATCTTTTATTACTGTAATCAAAGTCCATAATAAAAATTACATACATAAAAACATAATTTTGTCTGCCGCTGACTCTTTACATTCAGTGCACAAATTGGATAGCTCCTTTCAAGAATATAACAATACATTTCCAGCATCAAAAGCAACTCATTCCGTTATTCAAGATTTTTTAATTAAACAGTTGGAAAAGTGAAGACTTATTTAAGCCAGTTGTGGGAGATATGAAATTAAGAATATCATCATGAATTTCAAAAACTATGATTAATAGCAAAGTGAGACGTATAAAAAGGTTGAGATATGGCGACCAATCTTCTTTGCAGCACTAATTTGGTTAGCCCAGCCATCAAATGGGTAATTCAACTTATTTCCATGTTCTAATCATTTTTATTCATATAGGAACACCTGGGCGGATGAACATAATGACACGCAAGAACATTAAGCCTGTTATATTTTAGCCTAATTAAATGTAATTTTAACTTAAGCCTGTGCTGAATTGCTTTGTTCTAGAATGGGGTTAAGGTGGGGAGCGAACGAATGGAGGTATTGAATATCAAAGTGACATCGGAAAGCAGTTTCCTATTTGCCCGGTCTTTTCTTATGGCCGAGAAGTTGAGAAACAAAGGACAGAGGTGTTTTTTCCTCAACAGTGTCCTGCAGATTGGGTTAAACAGTTCTGATTTGGGGCACTTCCAACAAAGTTTTTGATTAAAAAAAAACCAATTGGAAGCTACACAGAATTGGTTAAAAGATGAATAGCCATATAAATGTTTTGAACCAACAAGCAAACGAAAAATGGGATTGAGGAATTCCTTTTCCTTCAGTTTTTTTTCCTTGCATTTGCTACTGTTTTACAGGTAGTCCTCGACTTAAAACGGTTCCTTTAGTAACCTTTCGAAGTTACAACAGCACTGAAAAAAGTGACTTATGACTGTTTTTAGCAATAGCAATAGCAGTTAGACTTATATACCGCTTCATAGGGCTTTCAGCCCTCTCTAAGCGGTTTACAGAGTCAGCATATTTGCCCCCACAGTCTGGGTCCTCATTTCACCCACCTCGGAAGGATGGAAGGCTGAGTCAACCCTGAGCCAATTATTCCTTTTCCTTTCTTTAA